AACGTCTATTAGATGACGGGAAAAAAAAGAGAGCAAAGGGAATGGGAGAACAATCCCCGAAAGAATCGTTTGCATAAGTGGATAGTATTAAACGAGAAATCGAAAACCCGGTGATGTTTTTTTTCCCTCTTCCCTTTGGTTTTCACAATCGCGGATCTGCGGTCTTTTGGGTTGTTCGCGGGGGAAGGGGGTCAAAAAGGGGGTGGATGGTGGGTGGATGACTGGCAAAGGGGAGTATTGTAAATATTAATGCGGCCGAGGAACGGCAAAGGAAAATATTTGAATAATAATTACCGCGCCACCCTCTGGTCCACCCTTGTTACGTTCTCAGTATAATAAAAAGGTTCTCGTTCCATTTTTTTTTATTTTCCATCCCTTGCGTCTCACTCATCTTTTCTCTGCGAGTCTTATCCATCAGGAGTGGGATAAAAATACTGGGGTAAAAAAGGATCGCGGGGAATTTTCTAATTAGAAAGATCTTTGGGAAACCTCGGCAAACAATGAGACTTTGCCACTTCCTAGCTTCCTCTTCCGCCAAGGAAAAATAAGAAAAGAAAAAAATAAAAAGTGGACGGGGAAAGGACTCTTGGATTTTAATATTCGTACTCTCGCGACGTTTTTACTCTCGTTCTTTTTATTAACGAATGACTACAATCTTGCGAATTCTATTATCTTGGTGGGTTTAATTGGAGAAAAATAATCCCAAGTTTCTTCACAAAAGTCGTTAAGAATACAGAGTGAAGATACAGATGAAACTCAACTAATTTTCTCCAATGGCGAATGAAAAATTCATTGGTGTGGATTTTTCGAAAAAGTTGAAATTTCATGCCACTCAAATTTCAAGATTTGGTGGAGCTCTCTCCACTGTCAAATGAACTAGAAAAAAAATCGAATAAAATTCCCGAGAGGTTCTTTTTAAGTCCTAGAATCGCAAAAGACGATTTAGTCAAATATTCACGTATGCATGTGAGTAAACGAGGTTGCCGCACGAGAGGAGCCACCGAATCTTCGACTTCCCTCTCGGAAAATTTGATTTCTACTGCGTCTGATCTGCGTAACAAGCTGCAAAGGCACTTTTTTTTTCGCTACCGAAACATCTCTTGGATGTAACCCCTCCGCATATGTAAGGCATGTAAGGCATTTACCTATTCTCAGGGTAAGGGAAAGGGCTAGAAACGGGAGGGAGAAAAAAGGAGAAAAAGAAAACCCGGGGAAAAGCTAGGCAAAAAGCTAAATCCCATTCTCCCGATGTTCTCGAATCAAGGCACCCTCTCTTGGCGGCCTAACGATGTGCCAACAAAAATACAGACCGAGGATAAAGAGCGGTTCCAAGGAGCGTAAGCAGATTGCGGAGAAGGGAAGGGCTCACCTAAGTTAAGAGAAAAAAAGAAAGGGAAAAAGCTCGGTGAAGGGAAAAAAAAGAGCGAAGTAAGAAAAGAAAGCACAGGAATCATCCGTCGTCTCCGGAGTATTTCTCTCTGTCATACCCTCCCTCCCTCCCCCCTCACTCTCTTCCGAAGGGGTTTCACCCCTTAATTATCCGGCTGACAATTATTTTTAACGACTCCCCGCGATATCTTAACGAGCCTCGATCCGCCAACGTGGCATCTGCTCACAGTCCAAGGGTCAGAAGGGTGTCTTTTCAGTTCTTACCATTTTTCTTATTTTTTTTTTTAATCACAATACTGAGAGTTTAAAGTGTATTCCAAGGACGACGCGATCACAAGATTTTTCACCGGAATTTCAACGTTCAATTGATAAACTTGACCGAGAAAAATACGGTGCGAATTATCGTCGGGATGTCGCGCTGTCATTAAACCTGAGTTTTATATCGTAGAATTTTTTAATAATTACACTACGATTGTTATTAATTGAAAGGCCTAATTACATGTGAATAAATTCTAAACTCGTAATGACCATACCATGACGATTTTTGAAAAATTAGTTATTAATAAAAAAACACTTCTGAAGTTAACGAGATCCCAGAAACTTGGACATTTACAATTATTTATTTACCAGTGATTGACTAAAAAAAATTTTTCCCAAGACGTAAATCTTGATGTTGTATTTTTACCTCTAGTTTCTTTTGCATTGAATTTGATGACTACCCTGGGAGCGAGTAAAAAGAGTCGAGTGTGCGACAGAAGTACGAATTACATAAATGCGCCCATCGTCGCGGATTCTCGAGTATACGTGATGGTAACACCAGTACACAGCTCCCACCTCCATTACCACATGGCATGGGGTCTAATCGTCTAATAATCCAAGCGAAGGTAATTACACCGGCGATGATACCCGAGTCCACAGTCCCACGTCCGGCGCGCCTCGACCATTAAACGACGGTTTAATGATAATGGCAATCGGCCCTCTCCGTGTTGTCCACTCGTTTTTCACGGTTTGACCATTTTTTTTTTCCTCCACTGTTTCTTGACATTTTTATTTTTCCATCAGGCAGTCTATTAACTACGGCTCTTGAGTAGCGTCCAAACCTGCGACACGTCATACTTTTTCATTTTATCGCACAACTCTCAGTCGAGTGTTTATGGGGAAATTATTTAATGTGATAGAGAAATGATGCTCTCTCGATCAATAAATATATGTATTTTTGTCTTCTGGGGTGGGGGAATATAGAAGAATAACCCATTCGTCTAGGCTCTGGTTTTATCTATAGACTCGCCTCAGTAAATTTCGACGTAGAATAGAGTAGACTTCCCCATGATATTTTCTTATTTTTAGAACAGATTATGGAATCTAACAATATAACGTGAATTGACGGAAAAGTTGCTATTCAATCTTGAATAATAACCCGCAGAATTTTCGAACTTGGTAGTTTTATATTTATTATAATCATTCGCTGCGAACCGTTGAAGAACATTCTTATAAATTGAAACTAAAAATGATTTTCCATCTCTATAAACTCTCATTATCACAGTATCGTATAGGCAACTTTCTAGTGAATCAATAAACTGCGTCAAGATCCATGAATTAGCCCTAATTAACGGGGAATACCTTCGAAATTCAAAGAGATAGTGAAATTTTTATCTGAACCTTATTTCCAGTTCTCATATTCCTCTGTAGAAGAGATGTTTATGAAAATTTCTCTATCTTCGTTCATTTAGGAGGAATCGACTGATAAGGGATCCCGAGCGAAATGCACTTATCCTAGTTGGCTTGTTTTGAGAATAAAGGGCCTTTTTTTCAGGGTGAACCCCATTGAAGATGACCTTCCCTCATCAATGGCATTTGAAATGAGGCCCCATGCAATCCCCCGAGGCAATGGTTGTCCTTGAAGTTGGTACTTGACAGTGATTTAAAAAATATCCAAGCGATGGAAGTAGATGAGCCCTCACTTGGCTCCCGGCGTGTCCTCGTTCGTTGGATTCTGGTGCATTTAAATAATTAAAGAACCCACGGTACACTCGCCGATGATCAGTGGTGTCCAGCCCATGGGTATTAATGGGATAATCGAGACAGGCCAGAGGCAAATCGCGACAACAGGGACAGTCTGGGCTTTCGGGGGCTGGTGGGGTGCGGTGATAATGATTTTATAGTTAACTCAAATAACCAAGGCAGAGGGAGGGAGAGAGAGTTGGTGAGACAATTGGCCCGATAATACGGCCCTTCCTGCCTGGCACTCGGTGATACCGACGGCAAATCAAGTGACTCTCGGGTATAAAACGACTAAACTCCCTCGGATAAGAGACAGGGATAAATATTCACCAAGCTAATGACCCAGACTCTGGCACTGTGATTCGCATCGTGGGTGTCATTGGCACACCCAAGATGTTGCCCAACCAAAGAATAAACCATTCTCCTTAAAAAAAAATATTCAACATTTATTCACAGGCTGTTCAACAAATTCCGGTAATTTCAACGGCTTTTATTTTTTCCTCTAAAATTTTCATCAGTATTAAATAATGATAATTGGACAGGAAGTTATCAACAGGTTTATCGATACACGAGACAACAGAGAATGGATTTGATCTGGATGTAAACATTGAGACCCTCAATTTGCGAATTAATTGAATGGAAAACTTGTGATTCAGGAGTCTCTTTACTTTCTTGTTCTTGGATTTTATTTCTGAATCGATTACCAATACCGTGACATTGAGAAACGTTGAATCGAAAAAAGCATTTCGTTTTCGAATTCGAGTTATCTCAAGGTGGCTCGTAAATAAACCACTCCAGGGTGGATATTAGATACATTTGCCCCTCTCGCGTGATGATACCGAAAATAGTTCTCCTTGGTAACATTCGATAATTAATTAATCCAATTTATCGTTACTCAGGGACATTATATGCCAGACTGGCGCTGATAAAAAAGGAATCTCGATCGTGTCCCCAGCCCACGAGATAGCACTGAGAATTCTTTCCCACAAATTAGCCCAAAGCCAACGACAATCATTCGACACTCCGATAAATCAATTCGTAAAATTAGTAAAGCAAACGGCAAACACCCTACCAGAGTTAATAAACAGTAATTTCATGCAATACTCTAGTAGTACACGATCCAGTGATAATGTAAAATAATTTCCCCAGCCAATCAATTACACATGAAGAATCTAGACATACGGTCTAATTTTATTTTTATTAATTCAACTCTCTCCTTAATTGATGAACTACAAACATATCCGTACATCTGTACAGACAAACATATCCAGTCTTCGACAGGGGGGTCGATGAAATTTACGCCACGATTGAAAAAAAAAAAGATACGGTCTCGCGTTGTTTTTTGCTCGAACTGGTTTCAATCCACCAATGATTCCCCATACATGCCCCACACAAATATAAACCAAACACACCAGAGTGAGACAGAGGCACATATCCCAAGGAGAATAAACCCGATGAAAAAGAGTAAAAACACGGGGAATGAGGCATCCGAGGCATCGACGAGATAACGAAATTAGTCCCGCACTAATTTATTTCCTAATTCTCGTGCGAGCGGAGGTGTGAAACAGCCATTCTGTACGTGGCATCGGGCGATAACGGGGGATATTTCTGTGTGTGTTTGAAACGTTATGTAGAGGTGAGGAAGAGGTGCCAAATGTGGAAGTGAGAGGATAAACCGAGGTAAAAGTGGTCGACCGAGAGATTCCCGAGAGTGAGACACCAGGTAAAACCAAAAAGTCGGATGAAATGAGAATAAAATGATCCGAAAGCAGGAGATAATGCCGTGGAGCCCCAGGAATTCACGCCTACGCTGTCGTGTTTTTCCTTGCCCTCTTGTGTTGGTATACATTTGGTGAGAGAGAGAGAGAGAGAAAGAGAGAGAGAGAGAGGGGGAAATCCTCATTTCATCCTCCTCAAAGGTTTTGAGAATAGTGCAGGGCAATCGGCCGATTCCAAGTCGTTTTATCACTCTATCTCAGTCACTCCCATTGCTTGATACCTTGGACGTTTCACGGTCAATCTTCAGGATCAGGATATTCCACGGTTTGCCTACACCAACACGTTTTGCTAACAGTTGGCTAGTGGTGGGAGATAAGGAGTTGGATCGTTCAACATTATCTGAGTTGAAGTACTCCAATCCAATATCACTGACTTTCCACTACCTATCTGCATTTATTCTTTTTATCTTATTTCAGTTCAGAATGTCTCTATTCGTTGACGTGATCATCTTTCCGTTTTCAATTACTTCCAACCATTACTATTTTATATATCATTCGCATACAATTATCAATTTAATCAGTTGCCCGTGACAAATCAGTAGATTTAGTAATGTAGTAAGATTATATTGGTCTAAATTATTTTCAACTTCGTGTTCTCGTTGAGGGATTATTAAAATTTGATGGATTATTCTTCGAGTTAAATTGCGGAAAAAGTCGGAATTTATTAAATTGACCAGTGCTCCCACGTGGTGCACTGAGTTCCTCATTATCACGTATTCACCAATTTCCCGTCAGTTTTAACGTTAATGCAATGGACGCACTTGATTACAAATTTTTCGTGATTTTTCTTATCACCGCGTGCGTTTAAATTTAATACTCTTTTTACGACAGAGACCATCTCGTTCGAGCGCCACGAGAGGATCATTGCAATTAACGAACGCCTCGGAGATACTTGTATAAAGGCACTTGGCCGGGAGAAGGTGAGAAACTGAGATATGCCAAATCGACACGAAAACTCAATCGTAAATTCTCAAGGTACAAATTTTCATGTGTCAAGGGATATCTCGACAACAGAGGTAATCAAACTGCAAGGAATTCTCATTTACACCGCCACTCTCGTTGAATTAATTCCGCCTGATGGTCGAAAAAAATAAATAAACAAAATAGCCAGTCGGCTGAAAATTTACAAACACAAAATATTGCGACGGTTCACTGAGGAAATAAATAAACGCGAAATTGTTGAAATATTAATTATGCTAATTATCCAATCACACACGGCGGGAATTAAGGCAGTGCTGGGTGAGAGCCACTGGTTCGTTGGGTGCGGCTTGCAATCAGAATCTCGTATGTGGTCAGACATTTAAAGAAAAATATAAAAAAAACTTGCAAAACTCAACGATACTGATAGGTACTACTATCTCAATCCATACGCAAATCGGTACCCCCCTCAACAATTTCACGACGAGTTGTCTAAACGTAAAATAATCGTACAGACGAAAAATTCTGTATATGGCAGTATATTATTTCGCGAAAATAAGAGTCCGAAAAATTTTACAAATCGAGATTATAAGTCGATAATATTAATACAAAAATATTATGAATGAAATAGTATATATTTTTAGCTGTAATATTTTGAAGTAGTCACTTTTTTCATTTGCAATATTTTTTGTTTTGTTTTCTTTTGAGGTAATATGTTGAGTTGTATTATTTTGACAGGTAACCGATCCCTTGGAGACAGTTACGTTAGAACGTGCTGAATGGGGTGCGGTGATGGACAAGCAAATCAGAGCCACTCAAAGAAATAACCAGTTCTCATTAAGAGTAATAATCCACGTCGATCCCCCACATGCTCTCAACATCCTTTTCTTTCCACACATGCCCCCTTCCCCTGGCTGTTCGTCTAATTTTTATCGAGAGGTCCCGGTTACGATTGTTTCAAGGGTGTCGCACGACAAATCGACGGAGCCCATCAGCTCCGGTTATATTGCGCCTCTCGCTTCGCTAATCTACTTCATTATATCCCGTTCTGTCCTTCGGTGGTCATTTCATATTCCCACGATTTATTGGTTAAACTATTGAGTACGTGGAACATAATTTGGACGTGAGCTCCTCTCACATGCGCTGAATTATTCAATTACGCTACTTCAATCTTCAATTTTCAGCTTTTTATTACACTTACGTATACTATAATTGTTGACAATCCTTTCCATGAGTTTGTCTTCATCATTCACTATCTTGCAATTATTTTCCATAATTCTCAATAAAATAGAATTGATGTGAAGGTCTCCTTTTAAACCAGAAATTTTTTCATTATCATTTTCAAATTTCTACAATTCAGGGATAATTCTCACTGAAATTTTCTCCCAACGAGCGACATGATTTATTCCGCCTAAAAAAGCAATAAAGGTTGTTACCCAAGCTAAATACAGCTGCCAGTTCCATATAATTCTTCAAAGGTAAAAATATTCATCTTATTTGATCGAACTATCTCAATACTTTTACCTTGCCCATTGGAATTATCGAGTACTGATAATTCCTGCGCACATAATTTCAGATAGACCCGTCTTTATACGTCTCAAAAATACGTTATCTCTGACGTCTCATTCCCCCGGGTTCGTCTTTCCGAGAAGGCAAGAAAAAATAAGGCGTTCAAAGAGAAAAATTAGAAGATTTGTTGACACAAGAGGCGCGATGGATAAACGCATCCGTGAGAAGAGTGTTGGTCAAACATAAGATTGCCAGACTTCTCGTCAGAGGTGCTCATTGTTGTCTTTCCTATATTTATCCATTTAAAAACTTGCCAAGATACCGTAATCTATACCCAACGGAAGTGAAAATATTCCACCAATCAACTCCGATTTGCGTACAAAGTCAAGTTGGTACGTCGAGTGTTGAATTAATCTCCAACAATACCATTGTCACATCGTCTCCAATCCGGATTAATTCCCTCGTGTAACCGTTTTCGTCTCCCAGAGGCATGCACCATCGAGCGACTAATCCAATCGTTTTAATTCGAGATTGAGGATGCCAGAGATTCAATCGTGTTAACGAACTTCCGGTCTTCATATCATTTAATCCATTCACCAAAACACGAAGTAATTGTCTCATTCAAAAATCATTGGAACCACTATTGTTCCTGTTTACTCACTAGGATGTTTAATCAAACCATTAAATGAGTTAATACACTCAACATTTTTAAAAGCGATAAATTTCCATGGAATATTCCAATTGTTACAGTTATCATATTTTTTAACACCAATGCCATACCAAAGATTTCTTCAGAATTCTCTCAATTACGAATGATAAAACCAAGATTAAATTTCTCCCACAGCTCCACTGATAATTAAAAAAGCATCACGTCAATGAGCCGACGGTATAATTAACACTTCCTGCAGCCCCTAATCCCCGGACAGTCCAGCTGCCGCATAAAGCCGTCATCTAATCTTGACTCGCCTGAATTCATCGACAGGCATAAAGAAATATTCACCCCGCTAACGCAAAAGATTCCCCGAAAATTCCCATAGAACTCTCGTGGACAAACAGCTCCTATTGTCCACCTTTATGCCCAATATATTTACACCAAACCCCAATTAAATTCTTGGGGCTTTATCTCCAGTGTCCACGCATAACCAAAAGAAAAAGAAAAAGGAAAAGCAGAGGATACAAACGCGACGGAAAGAAATTATCCCGTCAATGCACCATGGAGAGCCCTCACGGTCAGACTAATAACTGCCAATTTACCTGTCCCACGTTGGGAAAAAAACAGGTTCCACATAAATTCACCGACTCGATCACTCCTCATATCCCCCTCCACCACCTATGACCCATGTATTTGTACATAACACGGTGAATGGTGTGTATTATGACAGCCACAGTCGATACAAATCAATTATAAATGAGCATCTGGAACTTCGCATTACCTACATAACGGTCAGCCTCTCCCCTCGGACTTATTCCGACTAATGTCGTATCGCATACCCAATGAGCACGAGTGTCGATGAGTCAGTGGCAACACACAGGAAAGCCCATCACCTCAACCTCACGTGCTTCGTTCACTGGCTTTTTTTATGATTTCTCCCATGCTCAGCATAGACGTCAATGAAGGAGAATTATTTTTAGATTTTTGGTAAAGAATCAGTATCAGGAGAATTATCCGCCAAGTGTCCCGACAGTAGAACAACTCAATCACTGATGAACGGTCAGCAACGGCTAATAGACTTCAGAACAATTTTTTTCCTTATTTAAGAAATTTGAAAATGATCTTTGAATTGTTTGCTTCCAGTAGCAACTACAAGCCTGAGTGGAAACTTGAACGGTGGACTGATGTCGCTGCAGGTTGAGAATGGTGGTCAGGTGCAGGTGCCCCGGGCGCTGATGCAGGCTTTCCTGAAGCAGGATCCGAATCATCCAGGCCTGGAAACAGTGCGATTACCCCCGAGTGTGGAGGAAGAGTCGCCGATAGCGCCCCCGTACTGCCGCGAGATAGAGACCGAGGTGTGCCTGGTGTGCAGGAGATGCGGTCGTGCCTATCCCCAGGAGTCAGCTCTGCTGGCGCACCAGCGCTCGTGCTACCTCGGCAATCAGCAGCGACGAGGTGCCCTGAGACTAGTGCAGATGCGATACAGTTGCACAATGTGCGACACTGGTTCCTCCACCCGAACCTACGGTACCCTCATCGAGTGGCGGCGACACTCCGAGAGCGTCCAGCACAGGGCAAGACTCGAGGCCACCAATCAACAGAGAACTGGACAATTCGGTGGCCAGCGGTACGGGATTTTAACCGATGATGGACAATCGGGCGAGGAGGCAAATCCTCTCACCGACGAGATGGAGGACGTCGTCAATCAGATAACACTGTTGGCTGCCAGGGCTGCTGCCGAGAGTACAACCACTGGCCAATCACCAGCCACCCAGGACAACAACAATGGACCCGATGCTAAACGGCAAAAACTCGTCCAGGAAGTCGCTGCACTCGCTGGTGCACGCTAAACAGGGTGCTTCGGACTATTTAAATTAATATTCAAAAGAGCCCACGGAGACTGCTTTACCGACAGGGAATGAAAACCATTATTACCGAATGATGATTATAAATTATTATACTATTATGATTCATTGAGTACATTACGAAAATGAAGGTGTGCGGGGTACCAGAGACACGAGTGATTAATGCAGGCTGCCAAAAACGGAAAATTTTGTAATAGAGAGAAAAAAAAAACAAAACAAAGAAAAGAAAAGACATTGAAGGCACCTGTAACTGCCGATTCAATGATGAGAAAAATAATTGGTGATTGTTCTCCGTTTTGCCTGTTATTTTTGTAGCCAAGACGCGTCTCGTTGCTCGCGCACTCAACGAAGTTCCTCTAATTAATGAAAATTTAACGATAGACCACGAGATCCACGACGAATTTAATGATAATTCGATTTGACTGATGACGGATATTACGGGGTGGGGTGGGGGGAATGGGTAAAATTTTGTATCCGGTCGAGTCGGATATTTAAGAGAAATAGCAATAAACCGTAGACGTTATGGGATTTTTGGGGATTTATGAATTAATTTCGGAAGAATTCGTCGACACGACTGACTTCAACGATGTCGTCGAGGTGGTCTGGCAAAACGTTCCTATGTAAAGTAAAATAATAAATGAAGCAGAAAAATTGAAAAGAAAAAAAAAGTTACTGAGAATTAAGGTGGCGCGTGCGATGGCGCCAATCTTTTTAGGTAGTGGATACTGGCTGGATAAATCCCGCCAATAAACTGCGATTACGTACGTATCACACTCTCTCTCTATCTCTCACCTTCTCTTTGTCTCACTCATTACAATTATTATTATTTTTTTCTCACCATTTTGAGTGATGTAAATGACCAGTTGATCGTAAAATGCGCGCATCACACTGCTTTGTTATTCGTATGATTTATCACGTCGTAATTCCAGCACTGAGTAATACAATGCACGTATTACATGCCCAAATGATAAATAAACTATCATTACTAATTCCCATTGGACAATTGGAATTTAATACGATAATTTCATTAAATGGGGACATCCCGTTACGACCGTCTTGAATCATTATTTTCCCTTGATTTGCGACGCAAGGAGCAATACAAGAAGTACAGAGAGAATAAAGAAGATAGAAAGAAGCAAGTGGCAAGAAAAAAAGTGAAAAAAATTGAAAAACAAAATGATGAAAAAGAAAATTAATATCGAAATCGATGCGACCACCGGAGACAGCACGGACGGTGGTGTCTGTTATCGACAACGATAATTTGAGAAAAAAAAAACCCAGCAACATGGTTCCTATATTTAATAAAGTATATTTAATAACGGTAAAGGAAAGATTAATAATTAAATAGTAAGAGTAATAATAAACAATAATAAACAATATTTATAGTTGTTAATAGTAACGGTTCCGATGAACGGTAATTTATCGATAATTACGGTTGCGAATGATAATGAAGGATTCAGTGGGGGTTTGGGGGTGAAATTGAGTCTTTGTGTTATTTGAGGAAAGTTGTTGAGGTGGATGATGCGATGAGTGACTGATAAATGAATGAAATGACTCCGATTTAGTGGAAAAGGGGCGCACACGGTACGCGAGACTGATTCTCCTACGAAAAACTCCTGGATAATTTTGTGCAACTTTTCATTACGCACATTTTCCGGGGAGAGAGAGACGAGAGGATAAAGAGAAAAACATACGGCTCTAGCCAATACCAGTATTTGTAATTGTAGATTAGGGGGAAAATTATTCAGCGAAATTGTGAGGGAGATGGCGAAAATTGATGCATTTCATAGGGAAACATAGGTATATAAAGAATATATAAATCTATAAATAAAAGAGCCGATAAATTAATAAAGATGAATTATATATATATTTAAAGTAGATAAATATATATATATGATGTTGTAATGTACTAGAATCCTCACGGAGACTTTCTGGCGCGTTCTTTACACGCGTACGTACGTGGCTTTGCGATTTATTTACTTCAATTTTCATAATCGACTTATTTGTAGGACTAACCAAAATTGCAAGTAAAATTCTAATTAGAATTCTTTAAGTGAAAGATAATTGATATTCGTAAGGTAAGCAACTTGAGGTTCCTGTGGCAAACATTCGCTTTTATATTGATGTAAAGTTAATGATGGCTATTATTGAATTATTGATTAATTAATTATTATTAGGGGAGGATGAAGAGGGAATATACATATTTGCGGGTGATTTGTCCCGGATTATCGGCGGTTTCTTGCGTTTGACCAAAGAGTAGAGATTAAGGACTGCTGAGGATTTGCAAAAATGTTGGAAACCGCTATTTTAGGAGAAGAAAATAGTTTTTCGTAGTTTGTTATGCGGGAGAAAAATTACACGGGTCTCCATCACTAGCCACTGGCTCAGGATTTAACATTGTGTGCACTTTTTTTTTTTACATCCCTGCAATTCGTGATTCGTTGCGAGGCGTTAACGCGATGCGACAGCCAAAGGAAAGGGGAAGATTTGTCCTATAAAGCGGGTACGTAGATGCGCAGCCATTTTGAAGGGTGCTTATTTTAGTTTTTTTTTGCACGCAAGGGGAGAAAAAAATGGGGTGACACGAGAAAAAATCAATGGGGTCGTTCACGCTTTCGCACTCTTTTCGTGGTAAATAAGACATTCGGGTGCGTCAGGATAAAATCGTACGGAGGTAACAGAAAATCGCTATTTCAAGAAAAGTCTCTCAATTCTAAAGACTCCAGATTCTACGTGCAAACAACGACTTATTGAATTATTTACATTGTTTATGCGAAATTTATTTACTGGTGAATATTTGGATTGACAAAAGTTTTTTTGTAAACATTAGGTTCTGGAAGGCAGTGAATTTTCCTGATAACAAGACATCTTTATTTCTACGGGAAAATTGAAAATTCATGCGTCTTGTAGGACAACAGATTTCAATACTCAAACTAGCGGTTTTTCAATTCCGCAATAAAAAATTGAGACAGTACATGAGAGACTTTTGACGGGAAATTTATGGGCGACGAGTGGCGCCGCGCGACATTTAGTGCTCGAGACCGCGGAAAATTGTCAATACCAGACGGAGAAATTGTTTTAAAAACTCGAATACACTCTCTTCAATTAAGAACAAGAAAATCATTTTGTCTTAATGAAACACGGAGAACAATTTTTGGCAAAAATTCGCGTTCTCTGTAAGAAAAACCGCAAGAGTGAAGACCAAGGAAAAATTCACTTGGCAGGAATTTTCTTCGAATTCCTGTGAAAATTGCTAGTACTAGAATTTGTTTCCTGTTCGTCAAGTTTTTCCGAAGAATTTTTCTTGCAAATTTTCCTTCCAAAAAAATGTGTTTCGAAAATTAAACAATTTCGCACGTACTGATATAGAAAATACTTGCGTACGTACGCGTGTATGAAGAATAGGAAAGGGAGGGAGGAGGGGGGGGGGGAGGAGGTCACCACCTCAGGGGTTTAAAGGTACAGGGGAACTGATAAAAAAAAAACCGTTTTTCAAAATCCCGTTAGACGAAAAAAGATTACGTGATAGAGTAACCAAGCCTCGCTACTAGCTGTTCCTAAATCAACAATGAATGAGTGATAAACGTGTGCAGAGACTAAACGAGTGATTAATATTATAATTGTGTTGTATAAGTAAAAGAGGAGAATTAAAAATGAAAAATCAAGGGGCCGCGCGCTGCCACTCCCCCCAACTTTCACGCACTGTTTGCATTTAGTTGTAAAAGACTGCTATAATTCTTCACCCTGTAAATTATTTATTATCACACTCTGAAAAATGGTTTATTCGATTGAAATACAATTTATTCAATTCAAATAAATGGTTTTTCGTCGTGCACCAACTGCAACTACAACTTGATTGTGCAATTTCGTTGATCCACGCGTTAATCTCCCTCTCGTCGCTCTCGCTCTCTCATTCTCTCCGAAAAACAAATAAATTATAGTTGCTAAATTAATCAACTAGGTAATTTAAATTTACATCACTAAATATTTGCTTGGAAATGACAATTTTTATACCAGTCACATGTTTTTATTTATACACAATATGTACTATAAAAAATCTATAAATACGTGAATATCGCGGGGATCCGATACTCAAAAAATCGGAACAGTCGTCGAATAATCGCACAAATTCAAACGACACCAGAAAGTTGCTAGATGCGTAAACAAATTAAATTAGTCTAGGGGAAGGAGTGGCGCGGGTGTGTGCGTCCCTAAATGATAATTAAAGGGAAAAATCTACTCGCGGGATGAACGGAGTCAAAGTATGGAAAAAAAAAATTCCACGTATGCGATGCGAGACACGTACGGAACGTAAGAAGTTTTCATTTTTCTATCGTTGAGTTTCAATGTGTTAACGCGTCTATTTATTATTGAATCGATTGCTTATTGGTAATTTATTAATTAAAAATTACAGCACGACTTATTACTAGACACCTAGATTCCAACGAACTCCTCATTAAGTTTCCTGATTTTACCGATTATCAACCGATGAAGTTAATTTGCTAAAACAAGAGCGAATACCTTTTAATTGACTATTATTAATTAACTGACTACTAATTGATAACGAGTAGTGGATAATTCTTGTGAGAGATTGCCATGTGTATATCTATTAATGTACTCGCTAAAAGAGAGGAGAAGAAAAAAGAGAAAAAATCGTGAAAAATCGAGGAAAAAAAAAACTAAAAAAAAAATGGGTTCCCGGGGAGCCTCTGGGGTTCGCCCCAAGGCACGGGGCCCGAACACTGGCTCCCAGTTAACGTGGACGAAGGTACCGTTGGCACTCGAAAATTAATCGGTCACGTCTCACCCGTTTGCGCGATTTTTATTTGAAAAAACCATTATTTAAACTATCCTGAAGGACAATTGGCTGATATATATTTTCTATCAATATATTTTTCATTACGGTTCCTTGGAAATAAAAAAACTATTTAATCGATATAACGCCCAGAATTGACAGAAATCACTGGGCGTACTGCCAATATCCGGGGGGCTCCCCTTCTTTTTGTAATACCCCCCGAGCCCCCCGGATCCTAATGGATTTGACAATGCACTGATGGCACGATAACGTCTAGGAATTGATTTAAAAGAGTTAGAGGTAATGATAAAAAATTTTGATAACGCGATTGTGAATGTTTGAAGTATCAACGGGGGAGACGAGGGGATGAAGTCTAAAGTACGATAAACACCACAAGTACGAGAATAAATAAATAAATGGGAGAGTGATGAGAGTGAGAGGGCCAGCGCGATGGCCAGACTCCGATAAAACGGACTGCTGGAGCGGTGCAATCATGTTCCTATTAGGTTTCATATCTAAGCAAGTAATTAATTATACTACTAATTATAATGATAATGATGAATGATACGATGATATTATATATTATTGGATATATATATCAAATATATATATATACATAATGATATAGCT